TTGGCCTGCTCGATTACCAGGGAGTACGGATGCTTGGGCTTGATCGTGTTCATGATGTCCAACACCTCTTTTGTGGGTGTCCCGAGCTGAGCAGAAGGCTTGTTCCGCTTCCGGTTTTGTCCCGTCGTGTTGCTCACGTTTCCAGCGAGGTGCCGCGCGATGGACTGCTCGAACTCCCTCTTGATCTTCCACACGTCTCTCCACAATGGAAGTTCATGTTGGAAATATGACATCACTTCGAAGAATCCCAACACCATCTCCACGACGTCCCCCAAAGACTCTTCATTGGTAGTTTGTCCCAGGAGGTCATACATTGTCCCCTGATCAAGCACGCTCTTGATCCATGACGAGTAGGCCACGTTGCCAAGATCTTTGTCAATCACGTAGATGGAGGTCTTCTCCTCAATCCCTTCGGAATTCCTGCGCATGACCACATCTCTGGTCGCGCACAATTGCTTCCCGCGTCCGTGACCGTAAAACTGCGCCGCCTGATCCACCGTCATGCTCACGAAACCCACGTGGGACAGCTCCTTCTTCAATTTGGAATATGCAAGTTCCCGTATAATCGTGATCATGGCCTGAACATTGTTGACGTCCACCATGAGATGTTGGAGGCCCGGGATCGCGACCTTGCATTCCGCGAAAAGTCGTGTGTAGAGTTTTCTCCCGTTTGTTGACCTCGCAACACCGTTCGTGCTTGCATTCCAGTTCGTGCAGCAGTTCACGCATATAGTTGGGTTGAAGGTTGTATCGGACCCGAGCACCTTCGACTTGTTCCTCTGCATCTCGTTCTTGCACAGTTCGCAGATAAAGTCGTTGAGCTCAGAGACCGTATACCATCGAAGACTCAGATCGTTGGCATCAACGCTCCCAAATGCATCTTGTCCACTGTAACCTTCGTTCTGGCGCTCGATGGCCACCCTCGATAGCAATCATCTGATCCTTCTTTGACACGTCGGATTCATACTGTTTGACGATTTCTTCCTTCTCACGAAGCAAACAATCTGCTCTTTTCGATTCTTGCTCCGCAAATGTTGTCACGTCATTCAGTCTCGTCATCAGCTGCTCCCTGGTGTCCTCCATCAAGTACACCTCGGGGCGCTTGACAAGTGCATGTTCCAACTG